GAGTTATCTTTGCCGCCACCTGGCTGGTGGAGTCCTGGTATTCCTTCTCAGCACCCAAAGCCCAGCCACCATCCCTCCACGTCCCATCAGCTTGCTCCTTGCCAGCGCCACGGGCCAGCTTCTCTGCTTTTGCCTGTCCGCCGACAGCCTTCAGCTGCGCCTTCTTCCTCTTGGTGCTCTCGGCGTAGATGGGATCGCCGCGGGCTGGCTCGGCAAGGCGAGGGCGCTGCGGCTCCACCAGAGCCTGCTGAGGAGGGCTTGAACCCTCGGGCCGGGGGCCTCCGGTGACAGAGGGCTCTACAGGGAGAGGCGAGTCCTCCTCCTCCTCCCGGGACAAAGCGAAGGCAGCCGCCTTGCTGCTCCCCATGCTCTCTGGGAGGGCGGCATGCTCGGCGTGGAGAGCCAGCTTTTTCCTGTCTGAACACAGGGCATAGGGGAGAGGATCACCCTGGTCTTTCGTGATGCAGAAGGCCACGTTCACAGCTCTGTGCTCCTCTTCGCCAAACTTGACCGCCCTGCCACTTGGCCTGGGAGTCTCAGGAGCATCCCACTGCCTCCATCCACAGGGAGTGGGGCTCTCTTTCTCGCACCGGCCACCCTTCCCCTCCACGCAACGGGGCTCCCGCGAGACCGGGCACTCTCTGTGGCAGTCTGTGATTGAACAGTACTCGCCCCCTTCGCTTTCGAAGCCAGAGGAGAGGCGACCGCAGTCACCCTCCGGGGGGAGCGCTGCTCCTTCTCTGGCTTGGAAAGAAGGGTTTCTGCTGGAGTTCGTGGTGCTTCTGTCCCCCAAGACAGAAGGATTAGGGCAGAGGGCCCGATGAGGCAGGGCAAACTTGTCTTTGGCTTTGTCTTCCTGCTTGCCCACCTCACCCACAAGCACCAGGCTGTGGATGGAGACGTTTCTCTCTACTCGACTCTCCAGGCTGCGCAGGCCCACCATGGAGTAGCTAGGAGGACAGCAAGACAAGCAGTCACTCGGCGGGTTGTGAAGGAAGGGCTTTCTCACACCACCGTTGCCAAAATTGTCAAGGCAGATCCGCTGCGCATCTCCTGATTTCAGAAGGAGGTGTTTGCCAGAAACCATGCCCCAGCTGACCTGCATGGGCCAAAGAGACAAGTGTGCTGTCAGGATGTGCACATGCAAAATGAAAGAGAAATATTAAAAAAAAAAAACAAAAAAAAAAAAAAAAACAGCTCCACAGAACAGTCCTCCGCACTCTGTGCTCTCCCCACCAATAACTACCGCAAACCTTTTCTACTTAAATTACACTTCTCCTATTTCCTGGACCATCTGCAATCCTTACATTACTAACAATAGCAGTGCACTGAAATAAGGCATTCTCCTTTCTCTTTCTGTGGGTTTGCTGCCAGAAACGCGTCCAATGTGTCATCCTGTCTGTGATTCACCGTGCAATTAAAGATTCAGAGAGGGAAGGAATATTTGCACCTCCCTCTGCTTATTTTCATTTCATTTCACACTGCTGCTCCAGAGTCGCACACTCCAGAACACAGACATGGACTATTACAGATTATCCTGGGATAGCAGCTTGGCTATGCTCAGCAGTAGGGACTAGGGAGCAGGCAGGGAAATGTATCCGAAATCTCTACATCTGAGGGAGATCTATCCTGCTTGCCAAGGGAGAAGAGGAGTGGGAGAGGCAGAGGGTAACATGTGCCTGCAAAGCGACCCCCAGCCCCAGGGTAGCAGAACTGGCTCCCATAGCTTAAAAATCAGCCTCGGGCCAAATCTGTGTGCACAGATCAAAGCCCACCGACGATGGCAGCCTGCACTCGTGTGCCCTTTATCCCTAGAGGAGAGGCAAGGGAGAGCAACAGGAGGCTAAGAACAGAGCCGGTGAGCCCTGACTCTCCTCTGGTGCAAGGGTGGGAGATACGAACACACCTATGCCACGGGCAGGGCGACAGCAGCCCAGGCTTCCCTCTGCATCGCTGGGGCAGCACTGATATCAACTTGTCGGGGAGAGGAGCGAACCACCCATCTGGACAGCAACTCACACCACCGGCGCTTGCCAGTTTGCAGCTACACCCAGAGGGCACTACTGCTCCGGCAAAGGCTGGGAGCCCAAGGAGCTGGGCTAGGACGGTAAGGCACTTTCTTCTTCACCCACGAAGACCATGGATCCAGTTAGCACTGACTGCAACCAGACAGGACTTCTTTCCAGTCTATCTTCCCAGGGAAATAACTTTTAACCCACATTCTCATTTAAAATCCGGAAGTTCCTAAACAAACAACATATTTTTAAGCTCCTTTGCACATGCCTTGTGAGCAACATCTCATTCAGCTTCAGCCAAAGATACTTTGAGAAGCCAAAATAAGGCTTAAAAACCTGAGTCAAGACCAGAAGGAAAAACAAAGGGAAGGAAACGGTTTTAACAGATATTCCTAGCACTCCTGAGGAGAGGTAAGTAACGGGAAGTCATGCTTTGACCGGATTAATCATTACCTGTGACAGATCTGCATTCATATTCACATCCGCCCACGCGTCAGAAACATCTGAGTTTATCATAGTTGGCTTCACAGCAATTGTCGGCTTTGAGAAGGGGGAGGTATTTACACCTTCGTCTTCCAACGCAGGGCTCTCAGGCTTGGTCCTAAATCCATTCGGGAGCACGCCACAAGCTCCCACGTCTGGGGGTGTTTGCAGCTGATGGGAACTCTTTGGGCTGAAGCAGTTTTTGCAGGAGCCAGGCTTCCAAACGTGTTCCACAAAGTCACTGCACGCAGACATCTTCAAATCCTCGTGGCTCAGACCGAGAGCCCTCTGCGTCTTCTGCACTGTCCTCCGCTGCTCATTTTGTATTTGCTTCCCAGAGCCGCTCTTAAAGATCACCTAGTTATCTGGAAAAGCACAACACTGTCTGATTAGTTTGGTTATGCCCAAAAATGGGAAGATTTTTAATAGGACAGGTGATTAATTACACTTACTCTGCCTTCATCGCAAAGGCTTATTGTTTACAAGGCTTTTTTCACAGCTTAGCTAAAGCCCACACAATCACTTAAAAAGCCTCAACTTCTAAGCAGAGCTCTGTAATAGAGAAGACATCAAGCAAGCAGCATTCCTATGTGATTTAATTCCCTGTTTAATGAGCATGTTTAACCAGCCTCGTGCAAGGTTTAGATCAAGGGTAAAGGGAAGAGGTCTTGGAAATAGCTGTTCACAGCCCCACAGGCAGAGCCAGGCAGGAGAAATTCCTTCTCCAAAGTGGCATCCTCTCTCTGGAAAACAAAAAGGCCTGGAGGTACAAGGACCAGAATCAGCGACTGTGTAACCAAAGGGACTGGCAACAACCTTCCTTCACCCAGAAGCACCACTGTGATTACTGCTGTGGTACACAAAGGCTTTTCTCCCACCCAGTGCAACAGAGAAAGGCAATCAGCAAGGCTGGGGCTGGCACTGATTTGAGCAAGTGCCTGGCAGAAAGCTCTTACCTGGTTTGCCAGGAGCCACAAACAACAGTGTCAGCTCGCTCAAACGATTCATTGTCTGCAAGGGAAGAAACGTTTTGCTCTTGGATTACTTACAGACAAGGATCCCTTCCCATCTTCCTTCCCCAGGAGGAAATGCCCCAGGAACAAGACATTCCTGCATTCCTGTGCGCCCCCTCCCCACACAGCCAGGTCTGATTGCACTCAGCCAGTAGCTACCTGGAGCTAACAACTTTGGAGATACTTCAGACGAGGACTCCCACAAAGCTCAGTGGATTAGGGAAGAGAAGATCTGAAAACGCGGCTAGATGAGGAAAATTGCAGCCGGCTGCTACGGGTGTGAGGGCACGCAAGTCCCCCGCATCGCTCCACAGAGTCCTTCCCCACCTAACCAACTTTAGGTCATCATCTCCCGGCCAGCTGACCCCAATGCAAAGGCAAAGCAAACTGAGGCTCCTTCCCTGAGGGTCTCCGAGTGAACAGGCACTTTTACACCCCAATCCTGACTGCACAAGGATGCAGTTTACCAGCCTGATCCTTCAGTGCTTCCTCCGCGCAGGCATCCTGCAAGAGCACCATAGCTATGGGCACCTTTGCACCTGCATGCGCCTCTAAACCAGCCTGCGCTGCAGTAAAGCCGCTTGCCTCCGGGCTCAGAGATGCTCTGGCCATACTCTCCGACAACCACCCTATTGCACGGTGAAAAGAAAGACTACTAATAAGAGCTTGGGTGGGACAAAGTGGAGTAGGGGAAGAGCCACTGACCCACAAGCATCATCTGAATTCCAATGCCACCTTTGGGAAGGGAGGCTTTGATCGGCTAAAGCATTAGTACCTGCAGACTCCTTCTGTCTGGCAAGCTGATAAATTAGGATCTGTTTCATGAAGGAGCAGAAAAAAGGGGAATATCAATGGGATTCACAAATCAGATGAGTGCATGTCTCTCTCTTTTTAGGGAAGAGACTGTTTTAGACAGGTTTTTCCATGGACTTCACAGAGTCCAGATTAACCGAAGGACAGCAAATCACTCTCGGATGTACCCCAACACCTTCAACAAGATTAACATTATTTGCAGGGAAAACATCTTTGAAAAATATTCTAGCGTTGTTGCTTTGATTCCTTTTGGATCTAGCAAGCAGTGTCCAGCATCACCCAAAGTTGATCAAGTGTCCTGTTGAGAGCCAGCAAAGAAAAAGGAAAAAAAAAAATCAAAGGGAGGAAAGCAGGGACCAGAGCCAGAAAAAACTCTTCACTTCTGCTTTAATAATCGGTGCTGCCAACGGCCTTTTAAAGATCGGGATTTCCCTTTCTGCAGCGAACCCAGCC